GAATCAGCTATATGCCCCCAGCTGCCCTGGATGCAGGGATGCCAAGGGTGCTACTGGAATGTCCCAATGGGACAAGTCTGGCAGCCTGGCATGGAGCAGCAGCCGCAGGTAGGGACCAGCCACATGGCCACCAGTGAGAAGGTGCTGGCATTGGTGCAGGAGCATCAGCACTGGGATGTCTCTCACAAGCCCAAATTATTCTCTTCCTAAGCCATAAATACTAAATATTTATGACGAAATTGTTAGATAATTTGGTCATTCCCAGCTAAGGTCTTTTCAAGCTGGCCGAACCCCATCCCTCAAAGGGCACAGGACACCAGACCCAGACTCCAGCGTGGCTCCTGGTCTGGCACAGTGGGATGATTGATCCACTCATGGGACCAGGTCTTCCCCACAGAGTGGTTCAGTCTGAGGACTAATAGAGGTCTTCGGAGATTTTAAGAGCTAATGGAGATTTTGAGAGCATCCCAAAGAACCAGATGTTTTCAACCTGGCAGAGCTGCATGCTCAGCTCCTGGAGCCTACAGCACCAGGACAGGGCCATTTCTCCATGTGCTACTGAGAAACAGCTTTGCCCTTTCAACTGGCCTTAAATACAGCAGAAGGGAAAAGGAAAGCATTTAAAAAGCCTGAACTGGACTTAAAACAGTACAAAATATTTAACATATTTTCATTTGGGGCTAAACAAAACCCTGGGGGCGGAGGCAGTGTCTTCTGGCTTTCTTGGCTTAGTCAATAGGGCAAAAAAGACTTTCTTTCCCAGTTTCAGCAGCACCTCGTGGGACCTTGTCATCTTCAGCCCCATGGATCTGGGGGCTCGGGCTAGAACATCCTGCTTGCACTGGACTATCACTGCTGTGTCACTCTTCCCTGCGAGTCCCCATCTGTGGGCACACAAACATGGCCGTGGCTGTGACCCTGACCTGGGGCAGCAGCAGGATGCCCAGGACAGGCAGCACAGGCAGCGCAGGCAGTGGAACAAGCCTACAGGTTCTTAACAGGAAGATTAGATCACTTATATCATACAAATTGGATTTCTTTTCTCCCCGAGGAAAAGGGCCAAGGGACCTAAAGCCACCATGTCCCTACTTGGGGTCTTCCTGGGCTCATAGGGACCCCCAGATCTCCTTCATGGGCAGGAGCTGGTTTCAAGAGCCAAGAGCAATCAAACCTGCCTTCCTGGACATGCCCGAGGATGGGGTGTCCTTGTCTGCCCACGGAAGACTTGTGGGGTCCCTCAGACCCATGAAGGGCCGTCTTGTGGGGAAATGGAGGACACATGTCCACAAGAAGATCCAGAGCAGCAAGACTCGCTACTCCCAGTGCTGTCCCCTGGATCCAGCCAGAGGGCCAGCAGGAGTCATGTGTCTCCCCTGCTCCACCTCCAGGGGGCCAGTGAAATGCTGGGCTGTTTGCACAGGCACGGAACAGCCCAGGCTTCCTGCTTTGGGGATGTAACAGTCTATGAAGGAGGGCCACAAAGATGATTAGAGGGATGGAGCATCTCTCCTATGAGGAAACATTGAGTGAGTTACAGGTGTTCGGCCCAGAGAAGGCTCCAGGGAGAGCTTAGACCCCCTTCCAGTGCCTAAAGGGGCTCCAAGAGAGCTGGAGAGGGACTTCGGACAAGAGGGAAGGGCCTCAAGTGTTAGATGGGATATTGGGAAGAAATTCTTCCCTGGGGAGGTGGTGAGGCCCTGGCACAGGTTGCCCAGAGAAGCTGTGGCTGCCCCATCCCTGGAAGTGCTTAAGGCCAGGTTGGATGGAGCTTGGAGCAACCTGGGCTAGTGGAAGGTGTCCCTGCTCATGGCAGGGGGGAGGAACTCCATGGTCTTTAAAGATCCCTTCCAATACAAACCAGTCTGGGATTCTGTGATTCTCTGATTCTCAGCTGAGGCAGGGCAGTCAAAGGGTGTTATTATACAGATGGGTTTTGATGGCTCCCTGGGATGTGGCTGCAGCCCAGGTCCAGTGCAGACTCTGCCCTTGCAGATACTTCTGTCCCTTCAGCTGCCTGCTCCCACCCAGAGCATGATCCCATGTCCTGGGAGGAGCAGCCAGAGGTGTCCTGATAGCAGGACAGGAGGACAGGGTCATCTGCACCCAGTGTCTGTACCCATTGCCACATCAGAGTCCCATGAAGGGACACTTTGGGTCTAAGGGAACCCACACAGTGTGTGTCCCCCAGGGTGCTGGCCATGACCCCAGCCCCTGCTCTGCTCCTCGACAGATGCTCTTCTGGGAGTGGAAGGATGATGGATATCTGCCATGGGCTGTTGCCTCATTGTGTAATGTGTGGGAGTAAAGTCATGGTCCCTGTGACACACAGCTGCAAAGCAAATCAGGAATTCTGAGTCTCACCCTTCCCCATCACATGGGTGTCCCAGAAGGAGCATCTGCCTTCAATCAGCTGTACCTTGGAACAGACTGGGTTGGCTGCGCAGGCGGAGATGAGCACGTGAACCAGGCTGGAATCACAGCCATGGGGAGCTATCGGATCTGGCAGGGACCTGATGAAACATTGAAGCGGAGCCAGGATGCTGTGCTTGATTCTCTCGGGATGGAGATGTTGGGGGTCCCTTGCACAGCTGTGGTGCAGTGTCCCCCCCGGAACGAGCCAGGATGGGGAGCAGAGGCTCAGCCACCACTGCCCCTACTGTACCCCGCAGTGGGGAGGGCAGGCCCTGTCCCTTCCACCTGGGACTGGGTCTTTGCTCACAGTGCTTCAAATGTCAGCCACAGGCACGGAAGGGGAACACGGAGCACTGGGAAGTGCCAGGTAATGCCTCTAAGGAGTTTATTGCTGCCAAGAGGAGTAAAGTGCTGGCAATCTGGAACATGGGATACAGGCAGGAGTCCAGGATACAGGTAGGGCTGCAGCAACACAGCACAGGGATGGTCTGGGACAGGAGAACACCCTAAATGAGGAATCACAGAGCAAGAGGTACCAGGTGCCAGCTCACAGGTCTGAGGTGCACCAGGCACCTCCTTAGTCCAGTCAGCCCTGCATCGCCCAGCTCCCTATCCCAGTGAGAACCAGCGCCAGGACCCAGAGTCTTCTCCAGATCATTACATCCTTGGTTCATCTTCCAAGGAATTGCACTGACAACAGCAGAACAGTGGGTGCAGATCATGGAAGCTGACGGTGCCAGTCCAGGGCAGGGACTCTGGCAGCAGAGCAGTGATGATCATGTGGCAGGAGAGAAAAGCAAAAAGCACAGAACGTTCGGGTTGGGGGCCCACAATGTGGCTGTTCCTGCTGGCACATGGGATAATTGCTGTGCTGGGAGAGTGGCCCTTCTTTAAGAGGGCAGCTGGGCACTCAGCCCAGCCTCCAAGGGCGTGAGAAGGACATGTAGCTGGGCAGGAGAAGAGAGACACTACAAATAGACCTAGGTGACTGGATTCTTTCCAAACTGCATGGCTGAGGACACAAAGAATGAGATCTTGGATCCCTGGGCAGCCCAGGGGCTGGGCTTGTGTCCAGACTGAGCCCAGGAGAGGGCTCACCCCACTCTAATAAGCAGCTCCAGGCTCTGGCAGTGGGGACTCACCATGGGGTGTTACCCACCATAAATACCTGGGGACAGGCGTATTGACCCCATGGTGTTGCTCCTGTGTTTGGCAACACCCAGTGTGGAGAGGCTGCAGCGAGGTGAGGTGGGTCAGCACGAGTTGCCCCGGCTGGGGACAGCAGAGCCCTGCTCCAGCTGTTCCCAGTGTAACTGCAGCTTCACACAGTGGTTTCCAGGTGTTAACAGAGCCCTAGAGGCACTGTCACAGATCTGTGCAAACCCAGTTCTGGTAGGAACAGAGCCTGAAGAAAAGGGAAGGTGTTCACCCATGTCACCCACCATATATATTGCTTACAGACCTGGGCCCAAACCCAGGTCTCATGGCTCCTGAATCACCATTCAGGGCTGCCAGCCCCCACAGTTAAGGGTGCTGAAATGGACACAGCCCAGACACACAGATGAGGGTCAGGCCCAGAAACAGCATGGCCAGGCCAAGGTGACAGCTTCAGGTTAGCCCTGCAGCTCTCAGGGCACCCCAGTCCCAGCAGGCCCATGGCACTGTTGGCACTCCCCTGTAACCTGCAGCACAGGAAGGGGGCTGGGGGCCAGTGCTGCTGGCCAGGGCTGGGAGGACAATCCCCTGGGCTGGGGCAGGGAGAGCTGCCCTGGCTCTGCAGAGAGCAGCCTGGAGTGGGAACCATGGCCTTCTTTTTCCTTTGGAAGTCCTTATGGGCTCCACATCCAAACAAAGGCATGAAATCAGAACTGAGGGCAACTACCACTCTCCTTCCTGCCCCAGCTGGAACTCATGGTTGCCCTTAGCAGCACCTGAAAGAGGCCATGGCAGCACCTGAAAGAGGCCATGGCAGAGATTCCTCTCCAGCTGTGGGACAATTGGCTGGAGTCTCTCTCCTGGGTCCATTCCCAGCAGGGGGGTCTCAACCCCGGGGGAGGCTCTGCAGGGTGCAGGGGTCATCCCACAGCCTGGGCAAGGAGGGTGCTCTGGACCAGTGCAGAGCCCCAGGTTCACCCCACATGGGTGTTGCCACCTCAGCACAGGGCAGAGGAACATGTGCCACAGCATGCCATGCCACTGAGGTCCCCTGTCTGCCCACCGTGGGGTGGCTCCAAGGAAGGGCACTCTAAAGTAAATAACAGGTTGTGAACTGCACTAGCACCACCTGAGGAGTGCAAGCCTCTAGAACAGTTTCTAGAGGAGCAGACAGATGAGGCTATAGAACTCAAAGGGGGGCAGGTGGCTTCAAGACCCCGTCCCACAGCAGGGGACAGGGGGTCCCCAGTCCCTGGGAAGCCCAGAGGGGATGGGAAAACACATGGGAACATGCCCAGGAGTAGAGACCCCTGGGCTCCTTGTGCTCACCAGACTGTGCAACTTCAGCTCATTCCACATCCCAAAGACAGAACAGTCACGGCCTTCAGGGCTGGTAGCACTAGATGAACTGATTTCGGCAGAGAGACAAAAGGTTAAATTAAATAGTTCACCCCACTTTATTATCCCTACAGACAGGTGACCCTCCTCATAAAGAGGGTTGCTTTTAATTAAACCTTAGGCAAAACAGGCACTGGACACCAAGGTGGCATCACAAAAGGGATGGCAGGCACTGATGCCTAGGAGACAACTAACACTCTACTCCTGCAGGCAAAGGACATGACTAGCCATGGTCTTTGCTCTTCCTCCTCCACCCTCTCCCTGGCACTCTGCTGACCCCCATTCCAGCTGCAGGCACCAGAGCAGAACAGGGATTCATGCCTTGCAGCGAGCTTTAGGCCAGGATCATCCTAAAGAGCACAGCTGGAAGGGACAGAGAGCAACAGACAAAAACAGGAGTGAGAACAGAACTGGTCTGCACGGTGCCAGCCTAGGGAAGGGCTAGCACCTTCTGCCCAGCTCAGCTCAGTGCTACGGCATGTCAGAGCTTGAAACAACCCTGGAGAGAAAAGCCCTGGTCTCGGGGGTATGGAAGGCCAGGGACCCATGGAGGTTCACAGGGATCTCCAGTGAAAGTACCATGGATACCAAGTACTGAGCCATAGTCGAATGTCATTCAGCTCAAGAATTGTCACTGAGCTGGGTGGGAAGCAGGGGGATACCTGAGATGCACAGCAGCTCCCCCTGCACAGGCAGCACAGGCAGCAGCCATGTCTCCTGCACACTGGGGGTTGTGGGGCTGGGGAGAGAGTCCCTGCACCCATTTAGAGACAGAAAAGGAGAAGCTTGAGAGCAGCATGGCTGGAAAGCCAGCAGCACAGCAGGGCAGGGATGCTCCCCAGGTGGGGTGCCAGCTTCCTCCTGCAGAGATGCCAATGGCAGTCCCAGACCCTGAGATACAGCACCTGGAACAACGGGTGTGATGGGTTTGGGGCCAGAGTCCCTTGAAACCCCTAGGGAAGCTCGACGATTGGGAGGGGGAGGCGCTAGATGAAGGTGGAGTCCAGCTGGCTCGCCTCATGGTTGGTGCGGGCACGAGCCTCAAAGAGCTGCTTGATAAGGGCAGATTTCTCCTGCTCCAACTGGGTGATGCGCTCGCTCTTGTCAGTCACCTCCTGCAAGAGATGGGAGGAAAATGCTGCTCAGAGGAGGAAAATGCTGGCAACTGCTGTATTGCAGGTAAGATTACATAGAACCACAGAATCACAGGCTGGTTTGGGTGGGAGGACCTTAAAGCTCATCTCATTCCACCCCCTGCCATGGGCAGGGACACCTTCCACTAGCCCAGGTTGCTCCAAGCCCTGTGCAACCTACCCTTGGACACTTCCAGGGGTGAGGCAGCCACAGCTTCTCTGGGCAACCTCTGCTAGGGCCTCACCACCCTCACAACCAAGAATTCCTTCCCAATATCCCATCTAGCCCTGCCCTCTGGCAGTGGGAAGCCATTCCCCCTTGTCCTGTCCGTCCAGTCCCTTGTCCCAAGTCCCTCTCCAGCTCTCTCAGAGCCCCTTCAGGTACTGGAAGGAGCTCCAAGCTCTCCCTGGAGCCTTCTCTTCTCCAGGCTGAACACCCCCAGCTCTCCCAGCCTGGCTCCAGAGCAGAGGGGCTCCAGCCCTCAGAGCATCTTTGTGGCCGTGTGCTGGGACAGGAACCCCAGCAGTAAGCCTGGCCCTGGTGGGGGCACCATGGGCATCCCTTCCCCATCTGCCCTGCTTACAGACCCCAGCTGCAGTCTCATCACCCTCTTGTGACCTGCATTTGTCACAGTCTTTTCCCTCTGACAGGAATGCCCCATCCCTACCCATTGACTCACCCAGCAAACAGATGGACACAGTTGGGCACAGCTGCATGCCAGAGGGTCTCTATGTGCAGCCCTTCTCTGGGATGACCAAGGTTGGCCAAGCTGAAGGAACACTTCCCACTGCCTAGCATTCCTTTCCTGGCCCTATCCCACCTTCCTTTCCCAGCACCCCCAAGGGCACTTCCTCCACCTGTACCCCCACTCACCTTGGTGAGAAGCCGATTCTGCTCCTTTAGCATGTTGATGGCTTGCTGGGAGCCAGTGGAGGCTGGGGACACTGTGGTGACCAGCCTACTCAGGGCTGAGGAGGGGTTTGCTGGCTGCAGAGAAGGTGAAGGGGATCAGACATTGAGCCTCCTCCGTTGTGGCCCTTCCCAGCCTTTCTTCAAGGCTGGAAGTTGTTTCTGTGGCACACAGGGAACTGAGAGAAGCCCAGCAGAGGATTAAAATCCCAGCACAGGCCATCGCAGGGTCTCTGGCCCACCAGGCAGAGGGGGGAAGCATTCCTGCCAGTGTGCCTGGCTCCTGCCAGGAGCCCGGCGGGACAGTCAGCTCTGAGGTGGCTGATTCAGCACTTCAGCAGGTTGGATTTCTTATTCACTTGACAATGGTTATACCTTTTTGGGAACCTCCTTTAGTCCCCCAAATGCCTTGACCATCCTCCAGCCCAGCTCAGGACCAGCTGTGCTGTCCTCTTGGCTGCCCCCCATCACCTGTCTTGCCAATGGAGCCAAGTCACCTCTTCAGAGCTGGGGGAAACTCTGGCAGCTCCAATGTCAGCCCTGCTACCAGCATGGGGAGGGACAGGAGGGTCCTAAGGTCACACAAACAACTTCAAGCTGCTGATGGCTGTTCTCACCTTGCCAGTGGTGGAAAGGAATTCACCCAGGCAGCGGTTCACCTCCTGCAGCTTGGGGACCAGGCGCCCCAGGTGGCTCCAGCCACCCTCAGGGAAATCCTGTGGGATGAGAGGAAGAAGAGGCTGGGGGTTACCATGGGGCTGGCTCCAGGTCCAGCCAAGCCCCAGTCCAGTTCTCCAAATCCACAGAGCAGCCCCACCTCCTCCCAAGCAGCCAGGCACCATAAGAACAAGCCCCAGACTCACAGTACTGCTTCTCTTCTTCCCCAGGAGCCGCTGGTGCTCCTGCATAAGCTGGATGTGCTGGTGGTACCAGTCTCGAGCCTGGTCTATGAGCTCCAGGCCCTGCAGCAGGAAATCCTTCTCTTGTTCCAGCTCTTTCATGTACTTCAGCTGCAGGACAGAGCACAGGGATGTCACCGACTCCCCATCAAGGCCTTGTTGAGTTCCAGGAGCTGGTTTCTTCATGAGGTATGGAGGGATGTGGATATGGGCAGGGGTCTTATCCCTCTCCTCATGAGAAGCCATAGAGGAGTGGGATGATGTCTGCTGCCTGATGCTGCTTTGGAGGACAAGTTTTGGAGAAAGAGTTTAGGAGGAAGAGTTCTCTAGTTTGAGAGAACAACCGAAGCAGGTGATGGACACTCAGATCACCTCCACCCTCCTGCTCCCCTTCACAGAAGCTGTTTTCTTCACCTCTTATTTACCCAGGGAGGCAGCAGGAGCAGCCACCCCCAGCTCCCTTCAGGGTGTGAGCACCAGCCCCAGCACAGACACACTTGGATTTTGGCAAGCAGCGAACAGCCCAACTCACTGTGCAGGCTGCGAGCAGGGGAAAACCTGCAGTCTTGTTTCCCCAGCACTCTGCCCCCACTTTGCTTCACCCCGCAAAGTACATTGAGCTGTGCAGAGTGTAGCAGAGCACACCTCTCTGCTGAGTGTCTCTGCCAGTCACTCAGGTTGGGGACCTTGGTGTGCCTGGAGAGCTGCTACAGGAGTGCCTGGGGCCCCTGCCTCCAGAGCAGGCCCCTGGGACAGGATGAGCAGAACTCTGTGCCTGGCTGCAACACAGCCAAGGCTGCTGGAGAACAGGGGGCTCAGCCTGCATCCACGGGGGACACAGGGTCCCCATTCCACTGCCACCTTCTGCCTCTACTTCCCTTCAGCACCACTTTGCCACCAGCAATCACAGAGGTGGAGAGGGAAGAGGGGACATCCCCAGGGAACAGAGTACTGGTGCAGTGACCCATTCATCACTCTCACCCTGTGAGCCCAAAGGCGCTGCTCCCCTTCTCCATGCCAGGCTGCTCCCCCAGCTTCTGCACCCATCTCCAAGCCAAGCCTGCCTTGCTGCCTCTGCCTTCTTTGCCACAACACAGCCTGGCCTTCACCCACAGCACAGACTGGGCTCCAGCGTGTCTTCTGCTCATCCCACACCTGCCACGCAGTACACTGGGGTTGCTCTTGCTCCCACTTCTGGAAACACTGTTTGCAACATGAGAGCCTCCCTGCACACTTCTCTGATGGCCCAAAGGGACATACCCAGAGGAAGAAGTGCAGAGCCTTGATGCTATGGAGGCCGTTTGTGAGGGGCATGAAGAAGGTGCTGTACATGGCAAGGACCCCCACTCAGCTGGGGGTGCAGCCCACTGCTGCCTGTTCTGCCCTGTTCCCACTAGGCTTGCTGGCCAGCACGGTGAGCAGAGGAAGAAGCAATATCCCACAGAGCAGAGGGACATTGCCAGCCCTGCCTGGTGTGGGGATAGATGACATCTCACAAGGATGGGACACTGGGCAAAGGCAGCTTCAGAGGCATGAGGAAGACAAAGAACTGGACTTGGTTGGTGCTTCCTGGGGTTAAGAGGAGGGGATGGAGCTGTGCCCTCAGCTGTCTACAAATGACAGTGCTCAGCCTCTCACGGAAGGTCTCATCCCAGCCACCCTCATGGCCATGGGGAAGTCAGACCAGTCAATGAGGGACTGGCTGGAAAACACCAGCTGATGAGTAGGGACCAGCTGTGGTGGTGCAAAGGGTCCTGGGGCTGCAGCACAGCCCTCACAGCTCCACTCTCTGCACAGGAGGAACCAGTCCTGGTGCACTTTGGGATGGACACAAGTGCTACCATCTGCCACAGGCTTTAGGCAAACAAGTCTATTGACAGTTCCTTTGTCCCCTAGGGGCCCAGCATCCTCCCACCATTGGGGCAGGGAGGGGTAGGAGAGGTGACAGCATAAGGATTAGGTCCTTGCTGGACTCAAACCTGTTCTCTGTAGGCTCACAAATGGGACCAGTGCCCAAAGGCTGTGCCCAGAGTGTCACGAAAGGCTGAGACAGGGACAGACACCACTTCTCTGGGCTTAGAAGCACAGAAAGACAGCGCAGCTCTCGGGTATGTTGCGGAGAGGGTAAAAAAATGCAGAGGACCTCTCCCACTGCCCCCACAACTTGGGGAAATAGAGACCAGGGCAACACAAGCCCAGAGCAAGAGCACTTGTGGCAGAGCTGGGGACAGACACAGTGCCCAGCAGACCCTTCTCACTAGCACCAGGTAGGTCCTTGAGTTCACAGCAGTGATGGGCTCCAGCCCAGAGCTGTGCGCACAGGGGAGAGCCTTGCCAGGGAAGCAGGGACCTTCCCAACTTCCAGCCACCTAAAACCCTTGAGAAACAAAGGCCTCAATCCCAGACATTCATTTATCACTCCTTATCAGCACCTTTCAGCAGCGACTGCTTGGCCCAATGGGGATCCTGGCCCTTGCAAGGCTGCAAGCCCAGCAAACACCCCCTCCCAGGCTGGCATCGGGGCATGTTGTGTCCCCCAAGGCGAGCGCCAGGCTTGGCACCACCACTCAGGCCTGCTGGGCTGCAGGAGCACGGTGACACCAGGGTGCAAAGGGTGGAAGCGCAATGGTGATAGTCCCACCAAGCACTCATCCTGCAGGCTTGGTCCTGGCTCTCTTCCCAGGACAATTTAGCTTGAGCCTGTGGGCAACATGCCCAGGCAGCTTCTCCAGGGCAGATCCCTTCACCCAGGCAATCTGATCCAAGCCTCTCCCCTCAGGGGCAGAGAGAGAGAAGCAGATGCCTCCATCCTGGGCTGCCTGGCTAAATTCAATGTGGATTTCTCTGCTTTGCTAGCAAAAAGTCTCTTGAGAGCCAGGAGGATCGGTATGCTTGAGCCCTGACCTGCAGGAAACATCCGGAAGGGGGCACAGCCTGGCCCCACCACTTGCCAGTGCAGAGTACCTGACCCTCACTGGGGTGCTTGAAAGGCCCAGAGACCCACCTGTTGCCACACCTCCACCTTTGCCTTTCCCTGCCCAGGACCTTGCCCACAGGGAAGGCAGCCATGCAGTCAAATGCTAGCTCCACGGGCTGACCCACTCCAGGGGAAGGCATGAACCTCCTCCCTGTCGGGCACGATTTCTGGCAAAAACAGAAAGAGCGGTGGAAGTTAGGGCAGCACCTCCACATACATCAACAGAGCTTTGTATCCAAAATATCAGGATCTGCCCAATGTCCCATGGCTCACGTGTGCAGGTGGGCAGAGGGGGAGCCATAGCCCAGAGATGGTGTCAGCAGTGAGGGACCCCTGCAATCCACCTTCCCCTTCACGGGAGCCCATGACAGGGCTGTCCCTTACCATGCTGAAATCCACGCCGTTGGTGATGGTGTGTCTCCGGTGTTCTGCACGGCCCCTCTGATGCCTCCGAGTGTCCCCAGCCCCCGGGAGGCCACCATCTCCCTGGGACTGCCCAGCAGACTTCGCATCACCACCTGGAACAGAGGAAGGCATGAGGCCACCAGCCACTTCCAACAAGAACCTCCCCAGGGTTCCTGCTTCTGTGGGATGATCTGCAGGGTGGTCTTGCAAACAGGGAGAGGCCGAGCAAAGCACCAGCCTTAGTGCCTGCTCCCATCTTTGTCCAGGCAGGACAGGCTTCAGGAATGACTGACTCGGCTGCGCCAGGCTGGCAACAAACCTCACTGTCATCTTCTGCAGAGAGCAAGTGATAGGAGAAATAGAAACTCTACTCACAGTATCCTGGAATGCCCAAATAAGGAACAATATAATCTTGGAGAAGTCCTAGAGAATTAGATAAGGGATGTACTCAAACAAACAGGAGGTAAACTAAGCTCTGTGTACCCAAACAAGATAAAGAACAAATGTTACAGTTTTTAGTGGTGAAACAATAATGCTGTGCCTGCTCAAGACCTGAGGTCAAGACAGCGAAGAAGATCCATAAGGATCAAAGAAGGACTTCCATTATGGGCGTGACTATGTAAAGCAAACTAATGAATATGCATTAAGTGAGAATATATAATTAATATATAAACAGTATGTGCAATAAAAAGCCCTGTCCATCTGTCGATTGATTAGAGGAGCTCTCCTCCGAACGTCCAGCGCTGAATAAAGAAGAATGCCCTTTTTAACATCTACAAATTGGCATTAAGAAGTTTGTTTCTGCTGCTTTTTGGTATCACAAGCAGCTTCCAGGCAAAACTAGTCCAGTCAGTGATATTGCTGGCCCTCATGGGACACCCGGCTCCCACTCAGGTGGCACCAGCTCTGCCAGGAACCCAACTTCATCTGAAGGCAGCTCCTGCTTGGTGATGGACTTGGCCATGTGGACATCCCTCCAGACTGCATACCTGTGATGTAATCACAGAGTAAATCAGGCTGTAGTTTTTTCAAAATTTTATTAAAACTCCAACATCCTATCCTGCAAAAGACTAATCTACCACAAACACATGGTGCTAATGCAAATCCATGCATAACCTATTTTTGGAGATTAAGTTCATACTGGCAGGTTCCAGGCTGGATCAGACACCTCCTGCCCATCAGCCAGGGCAGGACTTCCCTGGGCACCTGCACTGAAGTCTGTACAAGCCCTGCACCACCTGCCCTCACCAGAAACCCAGCCCTGTAGCCACAGCCAAGCCAGCTCTGATCCGCCTCTGGCTGGGCTGGCAGAGCAGCGCTCTGAAACCCCACTGTGTTGAGAGTATCTTAGATGATGCAGGACGTATATTGCTGCAGGCCTCTTTGCACAATCCAGCCTGCGTGCTGGACGGCGGGGACCTGTGTCCTTGAGCAGCAGATATGAGAAAGCTGCACAGAGGTAAACAAGAGAAGAGGATGTTATCCAGGGTGTGAGAAACCACAAGATGGGAGGGCCTGGAAATGTCAGAGCACGTGCCTTGGCTAGTGGAGCCAATAAAGACATAGCTATAGTGTGTGAAAACGGATGTAACGAAGAGAGAGTTAGAGTAGAGCGTGTGAACCCTGTAGGACCCTTGATAATGTGCGTATTTTTGGAATAAAGCGGAGCATTGACTGTACCTCCATGAGGATGTGTCTTTGGAGCTCCTTTTTGCATCTTCTCGTTTTACCACTGCCCCAAACCATAGCATCAGGGCAGCCAGGCCTGCAGCCAGCACATCCCCAGGCATGTCTGGGCACCAACCTGCTGCTCTTCCTTTCCTGGCCCAGCACACCCTGCCTCATGCTACTCCCTCAGTCCTGCAGCTTGCCTGCTCCCTGCACAGAAGTTTCCTCAAGAGTGCTTTTCCCAACCTGGCTTTTCAACAGGAGCATTAGGGAGTTGGCAAATAATGGCAGGCAGCTGGGGAAAATACACCCTCCTCGGGACTGCTCCCCATGCATCTGCCATCCATTGCACATCCTTCTCCTATGGTTGGGCACATGCTGGCTCCTAGGTACCAGAGCTACCTGGCTCAGGTCTGGCATGTTCCCTGCTGCAGGCACATGAAGGGCTGTTAGTGCCAGGACAGGGTGCATGGCATCACCTGGGCTGGCACATTGCTTCCTTCTGCTCCACGAGTTTCCTCAGCCAAGCACATGGACACGATGGAGCTGGGATACGGGGCAAGGGAGATCAGGGGCAATGGCCACAGGAGCCACCCTTCATTTTAAGGCAACGAGATCTGGGAGAGCTGCACTGTGCCAGGGCTGCCTGTGCTGCCACATTCACACCGGTTCAGTAGTGGGAACCAGATTCAGGCTGAGGGGAGAGCAGGCAACGTGACAGCTCAGTCCATCACTACGTGTCATTGGAGAAAGAAGTCACCACGCCACGGGAAAAGTCCTCCTGGTCCATCACAGCATCCTGCTCCACCTGCCAGCAAATACTCTGGCACAGACAGGTCTCCAGCACATCGATATACACGGTCTTTGATATCACCCATCCATGTGCTTTGCCAACTGCCTTTGGTTTCATACACCCAAATTTACCTGGGAGGAACCCAGCAAGACTGGTGTGACCACGTGCGTGTTCTCCTAGCAGACCTGTAGCACATCCTGCTCGGAAAACTGAGAAACAGCCCCAAATCAAGGGTACCTTCAACAGGCAGACTCCCAAGGCAAAGCCAGGAGCATTTCTGGTAGGAGCTGCAGGACAGACGTGTTAAAAGCTTTTTGCTGCTGTTACCTGGAAGCGCTGGGTTGAACTGAGCTGAACTTGTGATAAGCAGGAGCTCCTGGTCAAACAATCAAGCTCTGCGCACCTGAACAGACAAGGCAGTGGCTAAAAAAGGATCCCTGCTAATGAGCTTGGATAGTTCTTCTTAGGAAAAGAGCAGGACCAGATCATCAGAGGTGGAAGAGATCCTGACATGAGATAAAGGACAGACTCCTCCCTCTGGGAAGCTCTCTGCCCAAGACAAGCAGACACCTCATGGTTGTTTTACACATTTCCACACTTGTCCTTGGCAATGGCCCAGACAAGCCCCTACAAACCGTCCCACCCTTGCTGCCAGTGCCACCAGCTCTCCAGGGAGCTGCTAGAGCCAGGCCACCCCTGGAGCAAGGGAAAGTGAAGTGCTGGGGAGGAGGCAGTGCCCAAGGCCATCACACACCTCCTGGGCAAGGCACTTTCTGCTCCATGCCTTGACTTCCCCAGGTCTCAGCTCACAGGGGAACCACAGAGGTAAAGACCCCCAGGAGTGACACACTCAGAAGTTGCTGTGACAAGGCACCAGTGGGCACCACCACAGTGACTTCCCCAATATCCACCTCACCATCCTTGTGCTTAGAGGGTGCTGTTGGCTCCCCAGGGACCGTGGGGCACCCAGCAGAAGCTTGCAGGCTGCCTGAGCACTGCTGGGCTGAGGAGAAGCTGGAAGGTGACTTAAGCAGGGACTTCTTTAAATCACTTCAGCCCACACACTAGCAGAACTTAGTGAGAGAAAGGGAATTGTTGTCCACTGGCTCATTGCACCCCTGGACATGCCAGGAGAGTCACATGGCCCCAACCTCTGTCATTTTGCCATGAGTCACATCCAAATCACCTCTGACCCCAGATCATAAAGCAGAGCTGGGGAGGCATCCTGTGAGCACCCCTTTTCCCCAAATCATAGGCAGAGAGAGCTTCCTCTGACTTGTTACATCCTCTCACTGCACTTACAGAAGCCACTACATGTAGCTGGAGGCTCAGAGCAGCCTCGCACGCAAAGAATATAATCTTAGTGGAGACAGGGCTTCCTGGAGGCACAGGCAGCTCCCAGCACTCAGCACACTTCTCTGTAGTGTGATGGAGCTGTGTCCTGACACAGCACTGCCCAACTCCCTCATGGCCAGCTGAGGAGGATATCCACCCGTTGAACCACACTCTGGGAAACCTTCCAGTGCTCCAAGGGAGCACTGGGCAGTTGTGCAGGACCTGGAGTTAAAAGAGATGGAGTAACTCTGAGCTGTAACATTTTCTAAGCTGATGAATCAACTTGAAACTCAGGCCTCTTGCCAGAATATGACCCTGCAGCTTGGGAAGCTGGCATCAAGGGCTGAGGCACTAATCTTTTTCACAGGCTCCAAACAGTTGTGGAACATCAGCCTATAATGAAAAGATCCTCAGCAAGCAGAAAGCTGCTGCAGTCATTTGCTTGCTCCTTCCCAGGGTAGAGTTTTCAATCTGTTGTCTATTCACCAAGCAGGATTTTTTTCAGGTTTTTCCAGATTTACACTCTTGATGATAGAAGAGTCAGCCTGCTTAATAATATTGCCTTAGATGAAGCTCCAGCGATTAGTCTGGAGCAATATGGAAAGCAGAGAACCTCAGCCACAGTTAAAGCTTCTTCTCCACCCAGCAGAAGGGACTGGGAGGTAGCGGGCGGGAAGGGAAGGCAAACCAGCCTGACATTCCCGAGGTGGAGGAAGTCATGTCATCACACTCAGGTCGTGCAATAACAAACACCAGGTCCTCACACAGACCTTTATGTCCTCAGATCTCAAAGCACTTCACAAACCTAGATAAAGAATTATTACCTACCCAGATAAGCCCAGAAACTTGGTTTCCTTATAACATCTCCTACTGACTAACGACAAATCAAGACGCCAGTGAAAAGGTCTCTCCTGTGCCAAGGTCAGCGTACCACCGCAGAGGGCTCTGGCAGAGCCACACAGGGATCCCAGGTACCAAGGAAGGGGAAGAGTCCACAGGGACCTGCAGGTGAGCTCTGTAGCCAGAGCCTGGGACAGCAAAGCAGGTTGCCCTGGTGCCACTTTCTCATTTATTCATTGCTTAATTATTTGTTATTGGGAATAGTGCTGCAGAATGATCCAAACCAAAAAGCTGGATCAGGTTTTGCAATTTTTATTTTGCAATTTTTATTGCACGTGCATGACATTGTGAAAGAATCCTTTCTGAGGACCACCCCAGCCCAGAGCCCACCCGAGCACACGGCTACTCCGTGATCACAACCCTCACCCCGTCAAGGTTGCTCGGGGGGTCCCCAGGTCCCAGCCATCGTCTGAGACTCCTAGCTGTGTCAGTCACCCTCGGGGAAGGTCAGGACAGACTCTACGCCCGGGGACAACCACGGACACGTTACGGCAAAGCCCTTAATTCCTTCTGTCAGCGCTATAAATAGCACAGCGCCTCGCGAAGGGAGCACAGCCCTGGGTGGGCGGCGGCGGCGGGATATCCACATCGGGACCGGAGCCCAGCAAAGCCAAACTGAGCATGGCAGTAACTTTGGCGGAGTTTTACACTGGCCCTGCGGGAAGCGCTGGCTCTAGCCCAGAGGAGAACACAAGGGACCGGGGCGAACAACTAGATTCCAGCCCGACCTCTGGGCGCCAGTCCCCGGGCCCGGCGCTGCCATCAACCCCGCGAGCCCGGAGCCCCCCGCTCAGTCCCGCCACTCACCGCGGCCTCGGGGCTGGCTGTGCCCCGGTTCCCGCTGCCCAGTGTTCTTCCCCCGCCGCTCCTCGGAACAGCGAGGGCTCGGCGGCTTCTCCACGCTCCGCTGCCCGCCGCTGCCGCCCTCAACCGGGGGCTCAGCCCCGGGCAGGGCCGCCCGCAGCCCCAAGACGAACCTCTCGAAGGTGAGGTACCCGCTGGCCGGTGCCGCCTGCCGCAACCCCTCCATCACCCCGGTGGGCAGCTCCCGGGCTTCTGCGCCCCGCCAGCGCGACTCGATCTCCCGTAGGTGCACGTAACCCCGCCGCCGGTCATCCAGGATATCGAAAAGAGTCCGCAGGCTCTGCAGGAAAACCCGAGGAAGACCCTCGGTACCGGCGGGGAGCGACCGATCGCCGCGTTCCGGAGCCATCGCCGCCGAGCGTTACCCCAGGGCCAGCCCCGCGCGCCTATTGGTCAGGGGCGGGATGTCCCGAGCTCTCATTGGGTGGCGGCGGGCGGTCCCTCTGACCATTGGCTGAGAGGGAGGACGGCGGTTTGAGTTCCACGCGGCGCCCGCCCCGCTCGCGGCCGGGGAGCGGCGGGGGTCCCGGTCCCCTCGGAGAGGGATGGCGGCGGGGGTCCCGGTCCCCTCGGAGAGGGATGGCGGAGGGGGTCCCGGTCCCTTCGGAGAGGGATGGCGGAGGGACCGGGACCGCGCCACTTTCCTGACCGCGAGCGAGGCGGGCTCAGGGAGATGTTTATTCCTCGATCCCCCGATTACCCAGGACCCTGCCACCCCGAGAAGAGCTGCTCTGGCCGGTGTCCGTCCATCCATCCATCCATCCAGGCACAAATCCTGGTTTCTTTTCAAGCAGAGATACCTGAAAACCTGTTGTAGTTTAACCCCAGCCAGCAACTAAGCACCACACAGCCTCTAACTCACTCCTGGTGGCATGGGGGAGAGAATGGGAAGGGTAAAAGTGGGAAAACTCATGGGTTGAGATAAAGGCAGTTTAATGGGGAAAACGAAAGCCACTCACACAAACAAAGCAAAACAAGGAATTTGTTCACTGCTTCTCATGGGCAGGCAGGTGTGCAACCTTCCCCAGGAAAGCAGGGCTCCATGCTGGGTAACAGTTACTGCGGAAGACAAACGCCAAACCCTTCCTCCTTCTTCCCCTCGGTTTATACACTGAACACGATGCCGCATGGTCCAGAATATCCCTTGGGTCAGCTGTCCCGGCTGTGTACCCTCCCAACTGCTTGTGCACCCACAGCCCCTACACTGGTGGGTTCGGGTGAGAAGCAGAAAAGACCTTGGCTCTGTGCAAACACCACTCAGCAACAAAAAAAAATCTCTGTATTATCAGCACCATTTTCAGCACAAATCCAAAATCTATCCCCATAAGTCCACCCTGCTAAAACCAGCACAACTCCTAGAGACTTCAGAGCCAATGTAATTAGCGAAGAGGGGAAAAAAACCCCACAACTGTAGCATTCACTCTCACCATCACCTTTGCAAACACACCCCAGAAGTGTCAGTCAATGCAGCATCCCTACAGAGGAGGGATGTAAAGCACAAGCACAGTGCTGTACTTGTCTGGTACATGGAGGAAGTGAGTGCTGACAGAGGGAATTGAGTGCCATCATCCCAGTGCTGTGGCTGGTGAGGCACCAGTGGCCATCAGCCAGCAGGAGCTGGGAGAGGGGCTCAAAGGAGCCACAGACATGAATAAAGGGGGAAAAAGACCCCTCCAGTGTGGACAAATGTGAAAGAAACAGGATTTGCGTCTTATCTTTTATAAACTTAATATGTACTGGCATTGGTAGGAGAATGAGTTTCTGTACTTTATAGGGAAATTTGCTGTGTCTGTTAGATGCAGCAGTATGTTAATCCTAGTGCAAGATGCTGCCTTCTCCGCAAAACCTCTCCATTAGACAGTGTGTCCTGCTCCAGCTGGTCTCTGTGTTGTGGCTGAACTGTTTTTCTTTAACTCATTTCTTTTCACAGATTTCCTGGACCTGTTGTACCTGTTTGAGATCTCTGCTTGGCTTAGCTGTGTTTGACTAAACAGGTTCACACCTGTGCAGGATACAAGGAGAAGGAACCAGTGCCTCATCCCTCCCCTTCCTATTCCAGAAACTAGGCGGTCAGTGTGGTGCTGCTCAGCTCTGGCAGCATCAGCACATGGGCTGTTTTGTTCAGCAAAGGCTAGATCTGCAAACAAAAGGGGTTTTCTCTGGGTTCCTCCCCCCTTTCTGGTCTTGCGGGAACAGCCAGGAATAACAGAGGGAATTCAGAATGACCGTAATGTCTTGTGTCCAATTTCCCTGCCTAGCCAGTCTATCCCACCAGGAAAGTGATCCAGAGATACCAGAAACAGTTCCTGGCATTGACTGTGTCTGCTGTTTCAGCCAAAATACTTTTGCTGTCTGTGTGGAGCTTCCTGCTCCAGCACAAGGAGCTGGGACACAACTGCCTAGGGCAGCTCTGCTCTTACTGCGTTTTTCATACCAGAGTGCCCTCAAGAAGCTGCCTTGAGACAGGCTGATATTTCCATCCTCACCGTGTCGAGTGGATGACGTTAGAGAGATTTTGAACGTTCTTGGAAAAGACTTTTGGGGGTTTGTTTTTTTTATGGGGGGCGGCGGGGTATTTTCTCTCACTTTATCTTGGGGCCATCCCAGACTCCTCTGATGGACAGACTTCTTTGTTTTCTTAAATATAAAAAACATAGTTATTCAGTTCTCCTTCTTCCAAGCTACTGTGAAGCACCAGCTGCCATTCAGACCTGGCCCAGCCCTCCCTCTCTGCCGTCCTGTGGGCATCAGCAGTGACATGCATGGGTCTGGTGCGGCGACACCAAACGTATCACTGCCCTTCTCTGGACAGGGCACAGGGCACCTAGCGTCCCCTTGGAGGCTGGTGGCATGTCAGCATGTCCTACCAACCAACATTACCACCTCTGTGAAGAGAGGTCACAGAAGCTGCACCGAACCCCAGCAGATCACTGGAGGAACAGGGTGCTGGTGATGGGGCACCTTCCTACATGACATGAACCATCGATGGGTGCTGATGGGTGACTGTCGTCTCAGTAGATTGAGCCCGGTGCTGTCTTCAGTGGTCTGTAGGTGTTCCCATGTACATCTCGATTATGCAGAGAACACATGGTAACTTACAGCCATGAGGTTGTCTCCTGGTGACCATGTCCAAATAGATGTTGTGAACCTCTGCTGCTCTCTCTGGTGGGGAACCAGCCACAGATCTGTGGGCTCAGTGTGTGCATACTGTTTCCTGGCACATGGAACAGCTAGCACCACTGCCAGCTCAGACAGTGCTGCATCCAGAGTGGGTTTGTCCTCAGCCAGTGCAGGTCACCAGAGTGTACCCAGGAATGGTTGGTCAGAGCTTGGTTAAAAACAGACCAGGAGCTGTGTCCACAACAGTCCAGACCAAGTCCTGGTATGTCCCGTCACTGAAACATTCATTAAGTCCCAAAGCTGGTGGGTGCAGGGAATTATTTTCAGTGAGGTACCAAAGTGTCAACCCAGAAATGTGTCCGGCCCCAAGAAACCTCTGGGAAAAGGCGAAAAATAGTGAGGGGAGCATGGTTGGAGAGGTTTCCCTTTGGGCGGGGATACTGTGTTTGATCTCCTCATCTCTGCAGTGACTTTGTGTTTTCCATCTTGCTGCAATAGGGCCTCTTGGGGACATGCTGTATTTTCTTTGGTGGTGGCCAGGCACTTGCCATGAAGTGACTTTTCTCTCCTCCAAACTGTTTTTTCTCCCAGAAGGCCAGCAAGCAGGAAGTCTGGTGGATGCTTGGTGGTTCATGGGCTGTCACAAGGGCTGGGAGAAGCACAGTTGGTGAGAAGCTGAAACAAGCTGTCTGTGGGGGTGGTGGGTTGTTTGCCCTCCTGGGTCCACGGAGCAAGAACTGGTGTTAGTAGGAAATGGCAGCCTCTGTGTCCTATCTCACCATCTCGCCCCTCCTGGGGTCTCAGCACAGCTTTTTTAAACACAGGGAACTACCTAGGGCTTAAATGGAAGTATGATAGATACTGCAGGGTTTCTGAATCCATCTAGCAACTGCTTTGTCCTATCATAAATTCCACTCTCCTGATGATGATGAAGCCAGGGCAACAGCAGTCACAGCTGTACCACAGCCAGAAATTTCCCAGTCTGACATGTTATTTGGGGAATGATTGAAAAACTGTATTTCTTTGGGGAATGCACTAGAGAGAACTTAAATGTTGAAGCCTGGAGCAAGGCCCTAAACACAAGAAGCTCTGCCTGCCTCCTGCTGGGGTACCTCACCCTGACAGAGTGCTGTGTGCTCTCTCTGCTGTCAGAGTCCTGGGGCTTTTTTCCATGTTGAATTTCCTGTTCTACCTGCATGTTTGTGTTTTGTTTGGCCCCAGCATCCCTCCCTCCTGCTCACTCAGGTTGTCCTGCCTGGTGTAACTGATCCAACCTGTCATCATTTTTATTGCTTTGCAGAAGAAAATATCTACACACACACTGCCATGGGTTGTGGAACCAGTCCAGGGGGCGCTCTGCAGCCGGACAAACCTGTTCTGGTGGATGGCTGGATTTGAAGGGTGGGAGCACATTCGCCAGCAGCAGCAAGATTTTCTGTAATTCTTCTAGGATCCCACGGGTATGAGATCCCACGGCTCTGAGCTGGGATTCCTTTGAGGCACGGAAGCAAGTTCTGCAGGAAATGGCAGGGCTTGATTTACAAGTTGTATCTGACAGAGCCTTTTCTGATGAAGAAGGGTTGGTGATTATGCAGGCACCAGGTGTGTGGAAGGACCTGCACCCATCCACACAATGGGCAGGCAAGGAATACAGCTATGGCAGGGAGAGATTTTGTGTAAAGGGGAGCAGAGCGAGGAGGTTTCAAAACCCCAAAGCTCTTCCGAGCAGGAGCTGTGTCAAGTTACATAAAACAGGAAATAGAGCATGAAACAAAAGCTTTGACCACTCTCAGGGATTCTTTCTGACTTGCTGGTCACATCCAGATGGAGTCCAGCTCTCCTGACTCCATTTACATGCAGGGAAGTGGCTGTGTCTGAGCTCCTGTCTGTCTGTCTTCTCATCTCCTTCTGCCCAGCTGGGCTCTGATCACGTGCAGGATTGCCACAGAGACAGGCCGGTGGCTGCTGGCTGAGACAAGAGGTTAGTGCCAGGCTGCCCAGCAGCAGGAGTGGACTGTATACACGGGGTGGGGCTTGAGGGCAGGAGTGTAGCACACTGCACCGTCCTCCCTCTCAGCAGCCTGTGACCCCAGCATGAGCTGCAGAGGGGACTCCCTCACCCTGTGCCTTCTGATGCTGTGACTAGCCCAGCCCTGGCCTTTGGGTTGTTGTGTCTGGTTACTTCACTGCTGCCAGGCTGCCAGTGCTCTCTCTGTTGTCCCAAAACTGGGTTCTTCCACTCTGTGTGCAAG